TTATCACTCCTCTGTTGGGTGTCTGCCAAGGCCATCATGTTGATACAATCATTCACAATAAGTTCAAAGGCAGCAGGGACCTTGTTCATGAGTTAATTAATATTCTGGAGGAAAATGTAGAGGAGTGGAGGAGGGAAAGAATGGGGAGAAAAGCAAAGTACTGTAGATACCTGAAATCTGACATAAAAACAAAATGCTGAAAATACACAGCAGAAATGGAAATATCTACGGAGAAGGCAACAGCTAATATTATCAGTTGAACACAACTCTTCTTCAGAACTATAAAACTGCAAGAGTGAGTTGGTTGCAAAGCAGCTGTGACAAAATTAGCCCCTTTGGAATACTGCATGGGAAAGATGACAAGACAATGGGATTGAATAGTTGGTATTATTGCTTATAAGTTGGCAGTGATGAGCGCCTTGATGGGCTTGTTGGAAAAATGCAAGAGAGCCACAGATGGAAACTGTAGGTTTGTCTAGGGAGGAGTCAAGCCCATGACAGCAGGAAGGTTGACAAGTGTTGAAGGGTTGGGGTAGGGACTTGGGAGGAGAGAGGGAGAAAACAAAGAGTCAAGTCGACAGAAGAGATGGTGATAGAGATAAAGATAAAATACGGTGAAGGAAAAGAAATTAGCAAAAATAGAAGTGAAGAAGTATTCAGCAGCCAAAACACAGAGCTGAATAGACACAAAAAAGAAACTGAAGTTACAAGGATATGATTAGGCAACAATTATACCTATATGCTGGTAGCAAATGGGGAACATAAAGGAGATGTTAGATGGAACACAGTCTTACTTTGGAAGTTCTTGTGGAACAAAGGTGACGTAGGTAGGGTGCATTCGGCACGGATCATCAATAAATTGTTGAATAAGTTTTGAGACAGGCACACTGGGTGATTGAAGTTCAGATGCTTAAATCTTTAGTATATTTGCAAGACAAACATTTGGTAAGTTAATCCTGTTTAAATTTACAACACTAAGGATCAGAAGAGATAACCAGAATAGCTCTGCCAACTTGAATGAGTAAATGTACCTCATACAATGTACATTTATAGTGTATATTGGACATTCAAATGATCCATTTCTATGTTGTAATCTTCAGGTGCCACTGAAAAAAGTAGACATCCTACCTTTTTTTGTACTTCTGAACAATATGTTCTATTCTTCTCTCCTGACTATGGAATTTTTGCTAATTATTGTTTCATGTGTTGATGTCTTGCTGGTATAATTCCAGCCTTGGCCATTATTTATAAATTAAACTTTACTGAAATATAGTGGTTATCTTGTCTACAGAGGTGGTTGCACCAAAGCATCATAAACTTGCTACATCCTGTCCTTTTAAATGGTTCATAAGTATACACTTCAGCAAGAAAACTAGATAGCAATCAGCATGACAAGCACAGCTGATTTTCCCCTCCCTGACTCTGAATCTCTCATCCACGTCTCAAGACTTGACCATTCCAACTTTCGTCTTCCATAAATTTAAGGCATCCAATATTCTACCGCCTATATCCTAACTCACATCCATTACTCCTGTGCTTGAGCTATATTTATTTCCGGTTAAGCTGTACCTCTTTTTAAAAATTCTCATCTTCTTTGTCAGGTCTCCCAACTGCCCCACACCTTCCCACCTTCATAAACTCCTGCAACTCTACAACATTTTGCTTATAATAATGAATGTAACAAATGAAAAATTGCATATTAAATCACAACACAAAATAACTAGAGAAGGCACTGTTTAAAAATAAGGGGTTCAATCATTTAGGACAGAAATAAGGAGAATTTTGTTTTTTAAAAAAGGGTCATCATTGAGTCTTTGAAACTCTCTTCCAATGAAAGGCGTATTTTTCTTAATATTTTCAAGGCAGAGGTAGAAGCATAGGAGTGAAACATTATCATCGTAGGTCAAAATATGGACTTATCAATTCAACAAGGATTTTATTGAATGGTGGAACAGGCTCACGGGGCCAACAGGCCAATTCCCTCAGATTAGGTAATTCAAATTTGGTCTGTGATCAGAGACAGGAGGACATGACTGTAGGTTGAGGCAGGTATGAAGAATCAAGGGGTGGCACTCGAGAAGCCTTGACCCTATTATTGTCCAACAGGTACAAACAAACCAACAACAGGGGGTTAAGAAGGTTCTTGAAAGCTGTGTGTGAATAAGATAGATACTGCAAGAAGGATGAGTGAACTGACCACAGCACCATGGGATTTGGGTGTCCTCGTGAATTAATCATGAAAAGCTAGCGTACAAGTTCAGCAGGTTATGGGGAATGCAAATGAAATATTGGCTTTTCTTTCAAAGGGAATGGAGTATTAAAAATAGGAAAGTCTTGCTAAAACTATGCAAGGCATTAATTAGACCACGCCTAGAATACAGTGAACAGTTTTGGTCCTCTTATCTAAGGTGAGAGATATTGGCATTGGAGGCAACCCAGTGAAGATTCACTAGGTTCATTCTAGGTATGGAGGGATTTCCTTATGAGGAGAGGTTGCTTAGGCAGGGAACAAACACAAAATTCTGGCAAAAAACTCAGGTCTGTCAGCATCTGTGGAAAAACATTGTTAATGTTTTGAGTCTAGTATGACTTCTGCAAGAAGGCATTGCTTCTCTTCAAACAACCATCCAATCAGCAACTGAGGAAAAGGCAGACAAATGGCACTATGTCATGATGGTCACTGGAGCACCTGTGCAGATATGACAAGCTGAATAACCTTCTTCTGCAGCATAACAATTCTGTGATACCAAAATAGTGAATGACCACAGAATTCTAAGTGCAGAGAAATCTAGGTGTTTTAGTTGAATGAATCACAAGTAGTTTGCGTACACCAAGTAGTCAAGGCAGCTAATGCAAAGCTATCCTTTATTATGACAGGAATTGAGGTTGTAATGCTCCCCTTATATAGGGCAATGCCAAGATAATATCTCAATTACCATGCGCAGTTTTGGTCTCCTTATTTGAAGAAGGACAAAAATGCATTGGAAGCAGTTCAAAGACAGCCTACTAGATTGATACCTGGAATGAGCAAATTGTCTTAGTTTGGGTGACTAGGCTTGTTTTTACTGGAGTATAGAAGAGTGAGCAGTAACTTGATTGAAAGAAATAAAATCCTGAATAGTTTTGGCAATTTGGAAATGAAAAGGATGGTTCCTCCTATGAATGGGCCTCCTATGAACGAATCCAGACCCAGGGGCACGGTTTTAAAATTAGAAATTAGGAGAAATTGTCTCTCCCAGAAGTTGTGCAACTTGGATCTCACTGCTTTAGAAAGTGGTGAAAGCAGGGTCATGGAATATTTTTAAGGCGGAGTTGACAGATTGTGGTTAGGCAATGGAATCAAAAGTTACTGAGAGTAATTGAGAATGCAGAATTCAAAAAACAAATAGATCAGCCATGATCTAACTGAATAGCGAACGAGGCATACTTCTGCTTTCAATTCTTATGTTCTGACGATAGCTGTCTTTTACCATCATAAATAAATTGCATGCAATATCAGGTTGTTCAAAGCAATCTAACAATCAAACTTCACATTTTGACAATAAACAGCATTAAAATGATCAACAGCACTGATTAATTTCTACCCAAACATGTAAAAATCTGCAGTGTATCATAATTTCGCTTGGTTTTAAAAGGTGATTAAATTTTTTGGTTGCATAAGGCATGATATGCAATCCTTTAGGTGGAAAGCTGGGTTGAGTTCCAGTTCAGGATTTCCATTCAACTCTCACTTTAACTGACAGCATAAATGGTTCAAAGTATAACAAATTTATGAAGAATCATATCTATCATGTGGGGCAAAATGTTTTGCTATCAAAAGGGATCTCACACATAGAGTTATGAACAATTGAAAAATATATCCAAGCTATACCAGCTTGAACTTATATACGTATCTTTAAGGACAAATGGGAACCACAACACCTGCACTGTATTGGAAAACAAATCTGGCAGTGCATTTTGCCAAATTGGTCAATTCGTAACCCAAGAGTTATCGATAAACTGACATTTTGGCCAGTGGTATTGATATTCATGTCTGCTGCCTAAGTGTACACTGCAACCTGACCTGAAATTCTTGTCCTTCGATGATAATTATCAGACAACTGAGGTACAAAAGTATAGTGCTGGAGAAAAGATTCAATGCAAAAATCACAGACAACATTCATTAAACATTCTTTGGAGGGTTCATTCTACTATCAGAGTGTGATTTCAGTGCTAGACATTGGGAAAAAATATTTACAATTGCTCAAAAGTTTCAGTATTAGATATTGAAAAAGTTGACAAAAAATGCATTTAATAATTTTTTTCATTAAGTGGGCTGTGTGCGCCAATGCAAATGAGACCTAACAAATCTGTTCAGATATAGCACTAAGTCCTTTAGTTAATGATTCGGAGGACTGGCAAAATTGAGCAGTTGTTTTTGGTAAAATTCTAAGAGTTTAGCAAGAATGTCTGTCCCAGAAGGAGCAACAAAGAACAAAGCTGTAACAATTATTATATAGGCTATGGTGTGGTAGGTGAGTCTATGCCAGTGAAATAATGATTTCTAAACATTATAACAATCTAGACACAGATCTGGAAAAATGCTCAAAAAATACATTGGGATCTGCCAGTCCATGGATTTCCTCTGCATTGTACATTCTCAAGTACCTGTTGCACTTTCCAGAAAATGAACTAAAACTATCACACGCTCAAGCATCAGAGAAGCCAACATGACTATTTTAACAGTACAGCATTCCTTTTCAAAACATATTTGCTGTGTCAGTTAGTTTAAACTATGAATTTAAATTGGTCTCTGATTCTCCAGGTACCTAGATTATTCCAGCACCACACACCTGTGACTGCAATCCCCGTGTTCCCTCCACCACACTATGCACTCTCCAAAACAAAAAGGATAAAATAAATTCAAAATAATTACCAAATATTTTAAGTAAAACTTCAACATATGACTATGAAAAAGAACATTTAAGCCACATTTGAATTAATGGCTAAAAATGACTCACATCAAGTAGCGTATGGAGATGCTGATCCTGGAAAACACTGTGCAAAAAATCCAGGTCCTTTTCGCTGCAATCTGTTAGTGCATGGATTTCCTCCAAACTGTCCAGAACCTGTGAAACAGCCCCTACAGGTACAAACAAACCACAACTTTAAGCTTTTGTAATGATGGATATTGATATTGTTCATTTACCACATCAGATGAAAATGATAGGAATGGTCAAACTGGTGATAGTAAAGCCTAAAAACCAAGAAGAAGTGACGTGACAAAATGGTTACCATCACTGATATGTTTTGTCACTTTCCAGGCATGGTACTGTATAGCTGAGTAAAATTAACTGAAAATAAACCGTCATCAATGCAAAACTACATTTTGTGACATGCAACTGGTGAAAAACAATATATCTCCGAAGGAATTTAAAAGAAATTCCAGTTTTGTGTCCTTTTTAAAATGAGCAATTATTTAATGACTTCTATCCTGCTCTCCAAAAAATTACAAACTGACTGAAATTTAGAACTAGAAAACTTCCAATTAGTAAGTGATAATTTTAATCTATGATGCTCATTTCTCTATATTTTCTCTGAAACCATAAGGAATCTGCTTTGCTTTCATCTTGAGCAGCAACATTACAGTGAATTACATAAAACACGTTATAATTTGAACCAGGAGTTGTGAAGGAGAACAAAGAATAACAGGAATTTATAACTATTGTATCGCTCAATAAATTATACAGTCACTGTGGATTTATGAAGGGGAAATAGTGTTTCACAAACTTATTGGAGTCTTTTGTGGAGGTTACAAGTAGAATTGATGAGGGAGAAGGATTGGACGGGTTTAATTGGACTTGTTGAAAGCTATTGACAAAGTCCCACACAATGCCTGTGTGAAAAGTCAAAGTACACAGGATTGGTGGTACATTGGCAAGGATTGAGAATTGGTTAGCAGTCAAGAAACAGGGCATAGGAAGAAAAGGGTCCTCTTTTGAAATGGAAAGCAGTGACAAGTGGGGTACCACAGGGATCAGACTGGACTTTAGCTATTTTCAATATACATCAAAGATTTGGATGAAGGAATCAAATGTAATATTTCCAAGTTTACTGACAACACAAAACTAGGTGAGATTGTGAATCTTGAGGAGAATGTCGCATAGTTTAATGGTGATGTTGTCTACATTGGTTGGAAAAACAGAATGACAGATATTATTTAAACAGTGATTCTTTGGAAAATAATGATGTAAGGGATCTGGGTGGCTTTGTATGTCAGTCTCTGAAAGAAAGCATGCAGATTAGGAAGGCAAATGGTACGTTGGCCTTCATTGCAAGAGGATTACAGTACAGGAGAAAACAGGTTGGGCTGCTACTCCACAGGGCCTTGGTGAGACTACATCTGCACTACTATGCACAATTTTGGTCTCCTTACTCAAGGAAAGATATACTTGCCAAAGCAAAGGTTCACTGGATGGATTCCAGAGATAGCAGGTTTATTGTACAAAGTCAGAAGTCACATGACACCAGGTTAGTCCATCAGTTTTATTTGAAATCACAAGCTTTCGAAGCACTGCCCCTTCATCAGGTGAAGTTGCATGAAGAAAGGTTGGGTATCCTGGGCCTGTATTCAGTGAGGTTTAGAAGAATGAGGGGAATCTCATTCAAACATAGAATTCTGACAGGACTTGGCACACTGGGCACAAAGGTGATGTTTCCCCTGACTGGGGAATCCAAAACAAGGGGTCATGGTCTCGTGATACAAGGTAGGCCATATTGGACGAGACGAGGACAAATGTTTCCATTCCGAGTATGTAAATCCATGGAATTCACTACCATAAAAGGCTGTGAGGGCCAGATCATTTAAGTATATTTAAGAAAGAAATAGATGTCTAAGGGCGAACTGTGACAAGGAGTATGGAGGTAAAACAGGGGTATGGCATTGAAATAGATGATCACCGACGATCATGTTGAATAATGGAGCAATTCCATGGGCTAAATGTTTCACTCCTGTTCCTTTCTCTATGTTTGTACAGAATAAAGCAGAAAAATATTGAGAAACAGTTAGAAGAGCTCAAAATCAATGACAGGAAAGTACTATTGAGAAGCTAATAAAACATAACTTTTCTTAAACGCTCAATCTTTGCCCAAGCTTAAAGTGGGAACTCAATTTGATTCTACCCCTTCAGAGAGGAATTCTGATGTCAAAATATATTGTCATTTCTTCACTGCTTCTGAGTCAAAATTTTGGAACTCCATTCCTAACAGTTCTGTGGGTACATTTACATCTGAAGGACTGCAGAGATTGAAGAACGCAACTCGTCATTAACTTTGAGGGTAAAAGGAATGGGCAATAAATGCTGTCCCAGCCAATGATGCTCACATTCCATGAATAAATTAAAAAAACTGACAGTGTCTTGTTTGAGTTAACAGAACTCTGCTACCCAACGTACCCAAGTATCAAATCTTACATCTTCTTTGTCGGACTGAAGCTGTAACTATATACAAGATTGCACAGATCCAAAAACTGATTTTAAGACGAAATTACGTAAGTGTAACTAGTTGAAGTGCCCTGTCATTACCTTTTTGACAAATTAGTTATGAAGAAAAAATTACTAAACTTTAGCCTCAAAAATTGTGGTGGATATAATGTTTCATTTGATTTTTGGGGAATCTGTGCTCAACAATGAGGGTTGCCAGCTCTGAGAATTTTTTTTTCCCCATTTTGTTTACCCAATGGCAACATTAAGCATTCCCAGGTCAACTGAAGTAGAACAGTAAAGTTATTTCAGTTCTGCTTTGACAATGAGCTTCAATCTAACTGTTGATCCATGTTTATTAATTTGGTATTCTATAAAAACTTATCAACATCAATTGTAATGCTTTAATGGTTCAACAAGTAACGCTTTAACATTTTCAGTTGAAATGAAAAATAATTCTAAATTTATAACTAAAAATACTCAGAGGATTTCTCCCTTATACTCCCTGAAACTTCATTAAATTCTCTCTCTTAAAAATCATCAGTAGTAACCCAGGGCTTCTCCTATTCCACTGATGTAACATATAGAAATAGGGGTATTACTGAACTTCAGCTGGAGTTATGGCAAAGGAGTGGGACAAGCTCTGAGGAAATGCATTTCCTTTAGTCTTTAATTCATTCACAGGATGAGGGCATTGCTGGCCAGGCAGCATTTATTGCCCACACTAAAGGGCAGTTAAGAGTCAACCACATTGCTGTGGGTTTGGAGTCAGGTAAGGATGGCAGTTTCCTTCCCTAAGGGACATTAGTGAACCAGATGGGTTTTTCCCCAGCAATTGGCAATGGATTCATGGTCATCATTAGATTCTTAATTCCAGATATTTACTGAATTCAAATTCCACCATCTGCCATGGTGGGATTTGAACCCAGGTCCCTGGAACATTACCTGAGTCTCTGGATTAACAGTCCAGTGATAATACCACTAGGCCATTGCCCCCCCCACCCCATTTCTCATTACGATAAAATAATCTCTGAACTCCTGAACCCTTGATGAAAGACATCAAATGTTGAATAGTGTTGTCATCTTCCTTCTGCCTGTTTGTGCAGCTGTTTGATCACTGCTCTTCCATTTCGACTTTATGCTTAACTTTATCATTATCTACATGTTCTTGAGGGCTGAATTAATTTTGTAGCCCTAAAAGGACACCCAACTCTAACCGTACAACCAATGCTCTGCCTAACACTATTATCTTATTCTAACATCACTGGACTTTGGTCACTTTTTCTGATTGAGAGTATTTTGGTCAGTCTTGCTCTATCTAATATTCAATAAATTAAACATATTGTTTTATCTAGCATTGTTCACAAAGGGAGACTTACGGAATTCAATTTACCCTTGGACAACACAATGGGTCCTTCTAAAGGTGGGCGAATTCAAAGCTTTGAGAAAAATAAGATTGGAAGGACTCCCTGGAGAATTCTAGCATAACTTTGTGGAAAATTGGTTCATCAAGAATTAAACTCTCAGCCACCATAAATTGTGATAAAAGTAAATGACTGCCCATGTTGGATAGCTGAAACAAACACAGAAAATGCTGGAGAAACTCAGGAGGTCTGACAGCACTTGCAGAGCGATAAACAGAGTTAAAATTTTGAGCTGAGTATCACTCTTCTCTTCAGAACTTTGTCTCTCTACTGATGCTGCCAGACCTGCTGAATTTCTCCAGAACTTTGCATTTGCATCTTAAATTCTTATCTAAGACAGGCTATGATACACATTTTAAACAGAACTCCCAAGGCAGATTCAGAGACATTCTGAGAGAGCATTCTTAATGAAAGAGTGTTTGAGGAAAATGGCTTTCAGGGATGACACACAGTTCTGCCAAAAAGAGGTCAGGCAATCTGTTGTAACTGCAAAACTAGTGAGGAAAAGGAAACTTTTCTTTCTCTTTCTCTCTCAAAACCTGCTATGCCTATTGAGTCCACCTAGAAGCAGCATATGTATTCAAACACAGAAACCATTGTAACTGATGAATTCTGACTTCATGTTTTCAACTTTCACTTTAGAAAGAGAAACTGCAATGAAGTATCAGATCTGCAAAGACTGATGTTTCTTTCATTTTTTTCAGTGTCTTTTGACTATTTATATTTTAGCCATTAATATCACTTTTGTACTTAGTAACTCTTAGCAATAAGTTGTGTGATAAACTAACTTTTGATATTGTTTAAGACTAAAGCTTTGCTTTTTTTTAAAAATGGGAACACTTGAAAAACTAAAACGTGGGCTAAGTAAGCTCTATAAATTTGTACTTCTCAGACCACTGTGGACACACCTAGTGTAACTGTGACAAATGATATATATTATATACACACATATGAAAGTTCATGATTTTTTGTCTCAACTTTCAAGACTGCTGTTTTCCTCTTCCTTAAAATATTCTCCCCTAATACATTTATCCTTCCAAACAATAGCCCTATCTTCAACCTCAACTGTTATGCTAAAGTTCTTGGATTTGTCACAACCTGCTTGACTTTCCATATATTCTCTTCAAATTCCATCTTGCCATTTTCTGCTTGGTACTGTGTCAAGATCATCAATGACATCCTTTGTAACTGTGGTGTACTATGACTTCGCTGCAATACCTAACACAGCTGACTGTTAG